TTTTGTAGGTTTGATTTGGACTCGTGTTAAATCAATTATCTTGGGTGTGGGACTCGTAATACATAAACGCACGCTCGTGATGTTGGAACCGCATAATGGAATGGCGGTAATAGAAGTAGTAGTAGTAGTAGTAGTAGTAGTAGTAGTAGTAGTAGTAGTAGTAGCAATAGTAGTAGTAGTAGTAGTAGTAGTAGTAATTAGTGGATGAGGTGTCTTTTAATTACTGGATATACAGTATGATAAAAAGCTGACTCGCTCCAACAAATGAGTGAGTGAGGGTGGTGTCATTAACATTGTGATTAAAAGCTGACACTCTGCATCAAGGGGATGAGTTAGGTGTCATTTGTTGTATTATAAAAAGCTGACTCCTTCAATAAGTGAGGTTGACTGAGCTTTCATTTTTACTATGATAAAATGCTGACTTGCGTCAACAAGAGAGGTTGAGTGAACGTTCAATTTTTGTATGATAACATCTTGCCTTGCGTCAACAAGAGAGAGTGAGTGAGGTGTCATTTGAGGTATGATGAACAGCTGACTCGCTTCAAAAAGTACATGTGATCCCTTTTTGACGAAACTCGTGAGTGAGTTTAGTTTTACGCCGCACCCAGCAATATTCCAGCTATATGGCGGTGGTCTGTAAATAATCGAGTATGGACCAGACAATCCAGTGATCAACAACATGAACATCGATCTGCGCAATTGGGAACCGATGACGTGTGTCAAACAAGTCAGCGAGCCTGACCACCCGATCCCGTAAGTCGCCTCTTACGACAAGCATGGGTTACTGAAGGCCAATATTCTAACCCGGACCTTCACGGGTAGACGAAACTCGTGGACGAGTTCACTTTGGTGAAACCCACCATTGTGATATAGTGCTACCGACCCTTGAAGATCCGAGTTAGAATTGGTCTTCAGTAACCCATGCTTGTAGTAAGAGGCGACTAACGGGATCGGGTGGTCAGACTCTCTGACATGGTTAATGCATGGTCAGACTCGCTGGCATGGTTAATCACTTGATTGTCTGGTCCAGATTCGATTGCTGAGTGCGGCGTAAAACAACATCGAACCCAAACCAATATGATATAGTGCCAACGGACCAAAGAATTCGGAGATTCGAACAATGATCCGCGGATCACTGAACTAATGGATAGCCTAGTCTACGACCCCTAATTTCGTCACCCCAAAGACAAACGTACCAGGTAACATACAGGGTCACGTACTCCTTGCCATGATATATTTCTTAGATTTGTTGGAAATATATAACGCCCAAGACAATAAACGCTCTTTACATGGCTCGTGAATAATCTATTTATCACACCTAAAGTTCCAAATAAGACACTTCTATGTACTCGTATGTCTCAAGTTATGGGAAATTCATACCAAATATATTGTAAACATCAAATATTTAATTGCGTGTGTCTTATGTACATGTTAAACCCTAAGTTTATTACTTCAAAAGAAACAAGGATTATGCAAAAGATATTACGTGCACACAATATGTATACGGAAAGATAAACTGTGTACAGATGTCATATCTTAAGGACACTGGAACTAATGGACGTGATGGTTGGTACTTGACGGTTCTTTGAATAAAATTACAATTTTAAGAAGACCATTTAATAGTGACGGGGAAAGGCTGGGTGTCTGCTGAATTTAAAGACCGATGGCAAGTTGTTTTTGAAACTGTTCTAATGGCCGATCCATTAGAGTGAAAGTGAGTGTTTTGCCTTTAAAGTTTTCACGTTAGATTAATCGATTGATGAAGGGCTGTTTAACAAATGTAGGGTAATAATATATTGAATCGGTTTAGGTTTATGCCGCTTTAAGCAATATACCAGCACTATCACGGCAGGGGCACAAGAAATTGGTTTTACACATTGTACCCATGTGGGGATTCGAACCGGGATCTCCGGCGTGACGAGCGAACGCTTTAACCACTCAGCTACTCTTGATTCATTAGAAGAAAGATAGAGGGACGGAGAAGGAATTGGCTTTAACGTTGCGTTCGCAATTATTTCAGTGAAATAGAGTGAGTGAGTGGGTATAGTTTTACGCCACTTTTAGCAATATTCCAGCAAGATCACGGCGGGGGACACCAGAAATGGGCTTCATTCAGTGAAATACACACGGATAGGGACGTGTTTGTGTGACTGCTTGTACTTCTACTGCTCATACCAGATAGTGAGGGAATTGGCAAGTCCTTTCTTATCTCAACAATGTGCTTGGGTGAGTGAGTGAGTGAGTGAGTGAGTGAGTGAGTGGGTGGGTGGGTGGGTGGGTGGATGGGTGGCTTGTTGAGTGAGTGTGCGTTTGGGTGGGTGGGTGGAGTGGAGTGGATGGTGGGTGGGTTAGTTGAGTGAGTGGAGTGCGTTTGGGTGGGTGAGTGGGTGAGTGAGTGAGTGGAGGACCGGAGAGCGGGAGTAAGATTTTTCCGGTAGCAAATTCAGATAGTGAGAGTGAGAGTAATAACACATACCTAAAACAGAATGGAAATCAGCTATTTAAAGAATCCGTCACTCACAATCTTGATAAAGCCACCTTTACTCTCTTGAACAACTGTCCGGTCATGCCTGCGAGAAGGTCAAGGTCACAATCACTTGATCCTTCAAAACACCCTGCAACCGACCAGATGTAGCTTTCTTGGAAGAAGATTTTAGATAATGTCATTTTCAGTGTGGAGTTGTCGAGAAAGTTCATAAAACCCCAAGATGGCTTGTTGTCTTTCGTAAGTTAAAGGATTTGGATGCACTTTGGAATGGGCTTCGTCATTAGTGAAACCTCTTTAATACATCGTTTATTATTTAAATATGGATTAATTTAGATGAAAACTGTCTCCTCCACTCTATCTGAGAGCAAAGCCGAATATTAATTGACAAGAGTCTTGTAAGTTTGTGATCAGATTCTTTAAGTTCGATGCAAGCATAGGCAAAACCCTAAACCCTGTAAAAACATGTTTTTTCTGAAGAAAGAGCATTCATATTTGCACTGAAGATAGAATATACCTATCCAACCATATTATATCCCCATGGTTATCAGGTATTGTCACATGACATGCTTTTAATACTTGTATGTCAACAGCAACTGGTCATGGAAAGATTGATTTCGCAAGAAAATATTTTAACTATTTGCAAAATTTACACTATATATATATATATATATTAATTACCAATTCTAAATAGCCAAATAATTTCAGTTCAGATTTTTTACGGACATGTAAGTCTTAACAAAGGTGTGTTATTGAGATGAAACTAATAATGAAAATGTTCACATCAATTCGCATCATTCATGAACATCAAATTTCATTTACCTTCTGGTTTAACCCATATGATAGAAATAGACAGCAAAAATGCTTTTTCTGAGAAAGAATAAATTTGCAGTCGTTGCTGCATTGCAAGACATTTCTTTCTTTTTCAGCTGGAATCTGACAGCCAAGCCATGAATTAGATATTTTAAGTAGAACATTGCATGGGAAGAGAAGTTCGATTCCCACTCAGTCATTCTATTTTTAAGGGTGCACCAAATGTATTGTACAATGCTGACTTTGCAAGATGTTACATGTTAGCATCATCATTTCAAAGTTTTTGATAAATGTTGGACAAAAGTCCACCTTTTCTAAAACCTAGTAGCCGAGAGAGGGTTTGTTGTTTTATGTTTGTGGTGTTATTTCACCATATTCCGCTTACATACAGAATATACCAATAAAAATGAGTGAGTATGGTTTTACGCCGCTTTTAGCAATGTACCATCAAATTCACGGAGGGGGACACCAGAAATGGGCTTCACACATTGGACCCATGTGGGAATCGAACCCGTGTCGAGCGAACGATGTAACCACTAGGCTACCCTACCGCTACCAATGAAAATGACGATCAGTCATTACATAATAGTAAAACGATGATGCTGGAGAAGAATATGGTATTTGTTGCACTCGTGTGGTTAATATTCTTGACACTGAACAACAGAACGTCAATGGTATTTGGGGATTCACAAACATGTCACTGTCTTATAAACCTATTCAGATTAAACTGCAATGGTGACATGTTTCAGAATGAGACGAGAATGGCTTGGTTAAATAAAGCCTTATGTGCTAATAGATGTAATAGTTTTATTTGCGACTTTAGTAGTAACAGTGCCAGCAGCAGTAGTCATAGTTGTTGTGGTAGTAGTAGTAGTAGTAGTAGTAGTTGTAGTTGTAGTAGCTGTAGTTGTAGTAGTAGCAGTAGTAGTAGATGGAGTAGTACAAGTAGAAGTAGTAGTAGCAGTGGTAGTAGTAGTAGTAGTAGTAGTAGGAGTAGTAGTAGTAGTAGTAGTAGAAGTAGTAGTAGTAGTAGTAGTAGTAGTAGTTGTTGTAGTAGTAGAAGTGGCCAGTAGTAGTAGTAGTAGTAGTAGTAGTTGTAGTAGTAGTAGAAGTGGCCATTAATATCATGAAATTATCTCATGCCAGGATTCATTTGGTCCTTATGCGTTAAGAATATTCCATTGGTTTATTATGCCATTGTCCTCTTTTCCTGCTTGTGAGATTCATTTTTTGTTTCATCGCCATTGTCTCATTTTCCTGCTTATGAGATTCATTGTTTGTTTCATCGCCGCTAAATGATGTTTCAACAACATGTCAGTTAAATTTGGAGGTTGAATGGTGAAATCCCAGAGACATTCAACGCTAAGGGACGCGTGAGGATCCGGGTTAGAATTGATCTTCAGTAACCCATGCTTGTAAGAGGCGACTAACGGGATCGGTGGATCAGGCTCGCTTACTTGGTTGACACATGTCATCGTATCGCAATTGCGTAGATCGATGATCATGCTGTTGATCACTAGATTGTCTGGTTGACACCCGATTGTTTACAGACCGCCGCCATATAGCTGGAATATTACTGAGTGCGGCATAAAACTAAACTCACTCACTCATTCAACGCTAGGATGAAACAAACAATTATGACGCAGCATACAGTCATTATCAAAAAGAACCTTACAGCTGAACAAATAACAGAATATGCAAATACAACAACACATTTATTTTTTCCTCATTTTAAACTTGGCGAGGTCACATGTTATGACGTAATAATGACGTAATAATGATGTAGTCTTGATGTCGTGAGGCGCACTTATAACGTAAAGACAATAATAGGCGAAACATTTCAAGACAGACAAAACAACTTCATAAACTTAAGTTACGGGAACTGACGAAGACTAAGTAATTAAAACCTTCATTGCAGTAATTATACCGCCATGAATATAATGTGTTTCTACGTCGATTGTTATTTTATAAAACACGTTGTCTGAGACAAAATGTCGCTACTGAAAAACACTTGTCTCTAAAGTAATACAATCACCTTTAATCAAGTTTCGTGACGTACAGCAACAGAATTATGTAAGAAACACTCACCAACGAAAGTAAAATGTGTAGTTTTGAGTACCGTGACATTCTATGTGGCGATAGGTTTCAAATGTTATCTTCAGTTAGACATTTTAGAATATGTGAGAAAAGAAATTTCTTTTCAACATTTTAAAATTTTCTTTTTTAAAAATCAATGTACAGTTATGGCTATAGCACTATCATTCAGCACTTAGATATTTGCAAAATACCAGAAATTTAAAAACGATACAAATTAAATGATTTTACTGATACATATGTTAGAGAAGTATACCAGCCAAGGCGAGATAATCAGCATTTTGACCCTCTCCTTAATTTGAATTCACGGATAAAGCTGCCTGACCAAGAGGAATGAATGCGTTTAACACTAAATACATGAAGAGAATATTTCCTTAAAGGAACATGTTTGTTAAGGAAGATGGTACGCATGGATTTTTTAATATAAATATATCAAAATAGTAATTTTATGATTTTAAATATGTTCAGAGGGTGACGTTTAAAATATTGTTTGAAAATTAAAAAACAAATTTCTCTTTTAAAGAAGGTTATGTCAAAAGTTGGAAACAGTGTTTAAGTAGACTCCGCTAAACGAGAACACAAAAAAATGTTGAACTGACCAATAAAAGTAATCTGAGACATGTCATGTGGTACAAAATGAAAACTTTTACGTAACCGGACACTTTGTTATTTCTACAGACCTATCAGATGTCTTACCGCCTCATAAAAACACCAATGGAAATAAATGAGCGTGTTGTCTTGGTAAAACTGTGATGAAACGAGGATAATCTCACGCACTTACACAATCATAACACACAGAAAGGACAGAGAGAGTAATGTTACAATAACAATTAGCCTGTCGTAAACCGGCATGATATTTACGACAATCCGTACTCAGTCTTGGAAACTGCCGTAAAGTGGTATGCAGTGAGATGAGATGACGTCAAATGCAGTTTATGATACTTCGACTGTTTCTACACTCAGGCCAAACCTAATATTTAGGGGAAATGTTCGTTTTCTTGCCTCAAAAAACAGACCACGTGACCTTTGAGGCTTTGTGTTATTGGCTATGTGGACTAAAGTTTGTTTTCACTGGAAAATGTCAACAGATGAGATCACAATCTCGCGCATATTCAATACGTCCACTTTTCGTTACCATATAATGTCAATGTCCACTGAGTTTCTTGAAGAACATTGACTCTTTCACAACTAATATCTACATCTTCTTGTCTCACTTCGGGACATTCACAAGTTAGGGCTACTCATATAATAAAGATGAACTGAGCCACTCACTACAGTTTCGTATTATGTCACCAATACCAGCACGCATTGGTTCTGCGCCGGTGCCGTTCTGTTTCCGGTTGCCACGTTGTCGTAACACAGAATGTCTGTAAGTACTTATGCTGTGGTCTTGGACATCTGTTCGACCTTGTGGCGTTCGTCTCTTCCCGGCATGCACAGCGGCATCAGTGTACATCCGTTATGTCACAGAACAACATGATAAACACCCGTGTTGCCAAGCAAAGGGAGATAATTCAGTCGATCAATGGCTGAACTCCTCTGGCAAATGGAGCTCTGTGTACGCTCCTATAGAATAGCTCATCCGGAAGTGTTTGTTATCCCTACGCCTGCGCAGATAGTGTATCCCCCTGAGCTGAATGTGTTTGGAGAGTGTCTTTATTTTCTTGATCTTCTCGTACACGTGCTTTATTTCTTTCGTTTAATTTCTTCCGTTTCATTCGTCGATTTTGAAACCAAACTTTAACTTGTCTTTCAGATAACTGTAACTTACAAGAAATTTCCCATCGCTTTTGCCGTGTTATATATGAGCTGTTTAAAAATTCATTTTCCAAAACCATCGTCTGATAGCGAGTGTATGGCTTCCGTTTTTTTCTTCCCTTTGTTTCTGAAATATAAAAAACGAACCATTAGCAAATGTCACAAACATAACTCACTTAATAATGTTAATAGAGTCTGTGAAGAATAAAAAAAAAACAATTTTACAATGAGTGTTTACTGTCTTAGCTGCCCCACTAATTCAAATTTGAAAAAAGGTCGACAATATTTTGTAAAAAGAGCAGTGAACACTACCTATGTGTTCATAGCATGAACACGAATACTTTCTGCAGGATGTTCAGCCATGTGTAAGATAGCTCAGATTTTTAAAAGTCCAAATAATACATTTTATGTTATGAACGGATACTATGATGACTGATATCAAAATCAAATTGTCGTTCCCTTTCATTGTAATGCATGCATGCCATAGGCGAAACTACTTTAATTGCACCGTGGCCTACTGAACGCTGTGGCGCAATTCAAGACACCCATCATTAAATTTCTCAGTCCAATTACCGTTGACAATGTTTCGATCAACAGGCAAACATCGTTTTTTAGAATTTGCTAGGTAATTGCCATGACGCTGATGGTAATTATTCAAACATAGTTCACGTGATTTCATATTTTTTGTCAACGTTGCGCTTAAAAAACTGCGGGGGTATATTTTTTGTGAAAAGCATATTGGAATGTATAACCATGTAGAAAAAGACGTATCATTCCTGATTCTCATTTTCTGGGTCACTTTGATATTACTGTTTTTAATATTTATTTTCATTGTCAGTATTTCTTTCTTATTGTTAAACAACAATAAATATTTCGCTGACAGCTTGTTGTACTTAGTAGATTTAACCTTCCTCGTAAAGTGGGTGAAACAAATGTATGAAATTTACAAGCAAATTAATTCATTTGCTGTTTTTAACCAGATCTATGTTTAACGATCTGTTAACTATTAGTGCTACATTGCAATTATGGTAACTAAGGTTACAGGTAATTTCCCGAGTGATATGCGTCATAATATTTGAGCTAACAGACAAACAAATTAACGTTCTCTTCCCAGTGCCATGTTAAGCCCAGTCATCAAGGGAGATAATCCGGGCTGTAACCAAGACTTGTCAAGTGACGCTGCAAGCACCCACCGACCGGGACCGATGACAAATGGGCCACATATAAGCTCATAATTAATCTTGTTTCCTCGTTTATGACATATGCTGACAAAAGTAAGACCAGTGGAACGTCGCTGTGCCCTTTGTTGTAGAAAACACAGGTTTCGTTGACAAATCTCCCCATGAAATATGCGATCCGGTTCACCCATGGGAAAAAGGATTGAAAAATGATCTTTTTTTGCCTGTCGACACGCGGGGAATGAAATGTGATATATGTTTCGTAAGTTCTTGTTACAAACGTAAGGTGCCCCTGCTTTGAAATCTACCATTCGAACTGTGCATGTCATGAATGGGCATAAAAAATAAATTGTTCTGAAGTTGTAAAAATATGTATTAATATAATCCATGTTAATAGAACAATAGCATATTTATAACACCGAAACATTATTGATGTATATAAGCATATACATACCATCTTTAGCCCCACCCATTGAAGGTCATTAACGTATATTTCGTTATATGAAATATATATGATGGTAAGTTTTGTATAAAGAGAGTTTATTAGGGGCTGTGAGTGCAGTGGCTGTGCTACTGTACATCATATAACTAGGAACAATAAACCTAGGAACAGTAATTTACTAAATGCTCGACTGTTAAGATCCCGTTAATCATTTATACCTGATATTAATTGCTATGATCAGTTTCAAGTAATATAAAATGTACCTCCGTTGATACTGTGAACGTTCAACCCCTGACCTTGTTTAATTACATTATCAAACAGTCTAGCCCAGGTGGCAGGTAGGGTGGGAACCCCTGCCACATCGTAATACATTTCATAATGTACATGCAATAAAAATAGCCTTGCTGATTTCACTTTATGCCGATTTCAGAACCATTAATGCATTATTATTCTTTCATCCCGACAGGGGTCAACGATACTGTTCGGATTGGTGATTATTATTTCATATTTGTTTCACCCAGAGGCAATAAATTCCGGCAATATGCGCTAAAACAGCAGCAAGGCCCGGTAGGAGGCAAAGTGATTAGAAGCACGTGTATATGAAAACATGTTGCACATTTCAGCTTGTACATTGCAATCAATTTCGAAATCAATCGACTTCATAGCAGTGCATGTAATAGTGGCTTGGTGTCAGATCCCGATCACGAGTGTCCCTCTTCAGTTCCAAAACGCTGCTTTATGTATAATTTAAAATGAGTAATAGTGAAATTAAGGATAGGAGCATGAAACTGTTATCAGCACTTTGATCAATTACGAGCGTTTATACGGATATACAAGATTCATTTACATATTGTTTGGTTGTGATCCCTGTATTAATGAAATGTTTTAGCGTGTCAATTTCGCGATTAGACGGGTCAGAGAAGCATCGTTAAAGTATCGATCATTGCCCCAATCACTGTCAGCATCACAATTGTCCTGCGAACTGGAAATGGATGCAAGTTTATATGTTTTAAAATGCAGAGGGATATTAATCGAAATCTGTTTAACGACTGATCCTAATCAGTAGCACGACGAGGTTATTTTTTTCTTCTTCTGAGACCGAAATGCAAAATTTAGATAATTACAAAATGCGTTGGAGCATATTTTCAAATGACTTTTTCTAATCAGGGATAAAACGTTCATAAGTCGTAAGCATATGTAGGTGACACACCGCTTCCTTATTCATTGATTTTTTATGCTTTCGATAAAAAATTGAGCACTGCAAGGTTATGAACAAAAAACGAAGCACGGTTCTTTAATAGGCATGCGCTATGAGGATGAATTCCCAATGTGTGGATTCTAAAAGGCCTACTCTGAAATGTCGTAATGAGAGTGGCATTTCATATCAGAGAATCTCCACACTCCTAGTGATGGTGCAAAATTGCAAATTATTCTCGAGCGAGTCTTCAATTACTATGGTGTCCAGACCTTTTGATTGTTGGGCATTAAACAAATAACGGGTTACAGCCCATTTCGTCTTTTCTAAGTGGCACAACGTGGAAAAGACTATACGAGTGTTCAGATCGCCCATCGCTAATGATTTGATGGGTTGGATACTGTAACAATCCCAGATCATTCGTCTGTGTAAAAACACCAGTATTTCCCAAGTCTATGGCACCAAAACTGTTTTTGATCTTTTTTAGGTAAATTGTAAAATTAGCGAAAGTAACGAGGCATTGGAGATTTGGGAACATATTAACGAGCTTAGCGACAACTTTTAGCCCTCAACGGAAGCTAAATGTTAAACAAAGACAATAAAACGTGTTTTGATTGCCTTTAAATTGTATTTTACTTGCCAAAATCCATTTAGATTCTTTTTCTCATAGCAGGATAGCAATTTTGTTCACTGCCACTGATATGTCGGTTACAAAAGTTAACACAATGTCACGTGTCATATCTCCAACGTTTAGACACGTAGGGCATAGTTTCCAAGCTACATTTCATTAAAATATAAATGCATTGCACGATTGTGTAGCCGCACTCGAGCTACACGCAATCGTGAGACCTTTGCCCGGGCCGGACAAGCCAAAGTTCCGGAATTTCACAAAGTGACAAAAAACATTAATGCCACTTAACCAAATCAGACATGAATATTAAAAGTATATATCCCATTTGCAGGTCTTTGGCTGTTTTGCTGACGCAGCAAAATGTGAGAAAATGGTGCAAATGAGGTTTACTATTTGCGATCTATTTTTATTATATGATTTTGTCCTTTAATGCATCCCAAATACATACATCACATTGTTCTATCTGACCACACATTCGGTTCATCACTTAGGTTATAATATATGAAATATTAGACATAATTTATGAAAATATAAATTGAAAATAATGATGCTGGAAATAGGATGTTCTGTCTTAAAGATGGGTTATATATGTGTCTGGTGAGTCGAGTTGACGGAGGTTGCGATAAGCAGTGAAATATCACCTGCAATGCTCTTTTAAGTTTAATTCAATTCCGTTCCATCTCACGCGATACCCCAGAGTTTGGAAACTCGAGAATACACGTACAGTGCATAAATCAGTTGTACTATTCAGAGGGGTAAATATTGTCGGCTAAATGTCCAATTCAGTTTTAGGTTTCCGAATTTAGAAGGCAATACGTGCTGACGTACAGAAACTCATTCTCACATATCGCCAAACAAATTATTTTTTTCTTAGCACTGAGTTGTTTTTAACATTACATAGATACAGATACCCACCAATCATGATAAATGTGTTGTATTTGATGTGCGTTAATGCATCTGAAAAATTCAACTGCTTTTATCAATTCATAAGTTCAGATAAGGCGGAAAATAGTAGTGTTATTTTTCTGGATATTTCCATGTTTTATATGTATAATGTTACCAAGGAGATAACGACAAGGCTCACCAAACCAATTAACGTCACTGAAAGTGCTCGGTGTATTAGAATTAAAGCATGCGAGATATTATAATGATATCAGCATTAATAATTCACGACTCATCTATGCCCTGCTTTATACAGGTCACTACTTAGCAGGTATATTTCTTTCAGGTTAGATTGGCGTATGTCAATGTCAGACGACGGTGAAATTGAGCACCAAACACGGGGAAGATCAAAGACCAGGTGTGATTTACTCGATTCTTCCCACATAGTGAATACGCTTGAAAACCCGTCAGGCAAACGTAACAGGCAATTGACACGACTGAACATAGACATGACCCCATGTAGCAGAGAAGAAGGACACGTTGGATTCGAGTTAAGTAAAGCTATCTACACAGGTGGTAATGTGTCGATATCACGCGAAAATCTACTACGTCAAATCCTATAGTTAACATTTTGTGATGACAAGCTTCAGCACGCAAGGTGGTTTATTTCTCTCATTCATTTCCACGATGTTGATTTCATCAGCTTTCAAGTGGCGCACTCATCATCAACTCCTTTCTTGAAATTGACATCAAGAATTCTCTTTTTTCCCGTCTTACTAATTCGCTGATTTATAAACGC